TCCATGGGAGAAAGAAGAGACTTTCTGGTCCCGCAAAGATGTACAGACTTGGAACCACTATACAGGGTCACTATGAGTCAGACCCAACTTGACAGTACTTAACAACAACAACAACAGCGATTTGGTTTAGACAAATATTTCCTAAACTCTCTATATCATTAGAATTAATTTGGGACTTGCTCAAATGATAGGTTCCAGCCTTTCTCCTGGAGACTTCAATTCAGCAGCCTCAGGGGAAAGTCTGGAAATCTAAATTTTTAATTAGTGTCCCAAGTCATTCTAATGACCAGGCAAGTTTGGAAACACTGGTTAATTGTGACATTAATTTAAAAAATTTATTTAGACACTTTATTAAAGTACTTTATGTGTTAACCACCTGGCTCCATGCCTGACCCATAGTTACGAACTCAAATGTTTGTCGATTAGTGACAATAGCTGCCGGCACTAGAAGTTAACTCAAAACTACAGTGGGCAGTGAGCAGTTATAAGACAGCTTGACTTTAAAATGTATCTCAAATACTCCTCCAGGAGAGTGAATCAAAGGCCACAGGCTGATGCCCAAGATCACTTGGATTTGTCCATGACGTGGTTTTTGCTTTGTTGGTATTGTTGAGCACATACACGGAGAGTGTATTGACGTTGGCTACATTCCTTGAGTTGTGTAATCATTCTCACACTCCTGTCTGAGTCGTTTGCCCGCCCCCACCCCCGCCCCCACCCCATTAACATTACACTCACTGCCCCCTAAGGTTCTCATCGAATCTTTCAAGTCACTGTTGTTAATTTGATCTCACATAGATCGATCTTAAAAGTGCATAATACTCATGCCAGATCTTTTCTTGCTAGTTAATCTTGTCTGATTTTTAAGAAGACTTCAGAGAGTATTTTCGCTTATAGTTTAAAGATCCAGGGGTTCTTTTCATGTGACAGAGCCCCATACAACTGTGATCTTGCCGGTGGAGTCAGCTTTCATGAGTTTGTGAAGGACAGCTAGGAGGAGCCTCAGGAGGGCATTTCCTGAATGTGGGAGCTAGAAAATGTGCCTGGTGAGTACCAGGGCAATCCTCATCTCTAAAGTGAGGTGAGGTTCCAGGGTGGTACAACCAGTTTGCTCTTGGCTATTAACTGAAAGCTTGGCAGGCTGGACCCCTCCAGAGCACCATAGTGATT